GCACAAAAACTGATTAGGTTTTGTAAGAGACGAAATCAAAATAGTTAGAGTGGTGGGTTTAAGTAGCACAAGTCTTGTGTTTAAGTGCCGGCAGAGGTAGGGCCTACTGTTGGAAGAGAGTGGGTTAAAAGGTTACTACCACACTCATCATAGTGCACAAGTTCCGTTTTCTATTTTTTAATAAATGTAGGTGTTTTTTCGCCCTCATCGACACAATTTAGATAATGTTAGGTGGCAGGCTTCCAACCCTGCCTGTCAGGACCAACCCGGGCTGAGAAGGATACAACAGAAAAACGATAAGATACTTGATAAAAATTTCCTTCCAACTTGGGAATGAAACTTGGGTCTCCTGCATGCGACAGAGAAGCATCCAACCACTACACCACAGATGCCTGTACAGGGTTCTGTTAATTCCTTATCTCCGTATCCCACTCCCAGCGGCTCGCAGTCGGAACCCTTATGCCCGTGAGCCGCCGATGGTGGCACAGGCACATTCATTTACGACGATTTCGACATCAAATTACTATTCGGAAATAGCCAAAAACAGGTCTCTTTTACAGGGAGTTTATTCATTAGATGAAGAACTATCAAATTAGGCTCACTTGTTTTGATGTAATGATCAATTTAGTGACGAATAAGTCACTTTTAGATTTCGTACCAAAAAAGGGCCTTGGCATAGTGGATTTACCCGCCTCGGACATAAAGAGTTAAAAGAGTGGTTGACCGGCAAAGAGTGAGTAGAAGTACAGTTTGTTGTCCACAGATGTAAGGGTCTCAGTTATAATTGTTTTACACCTTTATTGAGACAGCTAAATCTAGGAGAAGAGGAAGCTTTGATTATGACATTCTAATCTTTGTCAGGTCTATCCAGGGATGTGATAGATGGAGAGACTCTGGCAAGAATAGAACTATTATACTACATATTGTCGACCAGCTGTTCAGATGAATTAAACCTCAAATTTTTAATTCTATCTTATTGCAGTTTCTTAATTTGTAGTATCAGTTGCATGTGCTCAAGAAATATTTTGTTCAATGTGAATTCAAAATTTGAAAAAAAAAAACCCCCTTAAAAAACATAATGAAGAGAAAATTGTCAAAAGAATGAATCAGGTTTTTCTCTCTCCTGGAAAATTTTGCTTTCTGGGATGAGTACATTTAAACAGGTTGCCAATGACATGCTGCTTCAAAATGTCTGAGCTTTGAAAATGAAACAGATGATGAGGATGCAATGTTTCAATCACCCATAAATGTACTAAGGAAGATGAGGGAGCAACCTACACAAGCCCCCCTCCCCCCCCCCACCTCCATCTCATCATCTCATCCTACAAGACGTGAAGATAAATGTCTGTCTACAGAAGACAGACAGATGTAGGCCAAATTGTACCCTTGTCCTAAAAGATAAAACCTTCTACCTGAGTTCATAACTCCAACAAAGTTATGCAGAATGCATCTTACATTGGCAAAATACAAAAAATAAAGGTGACATCCTTTGCAAACAAATGGGGTATTGAACTTATTGCAAACAAATCATGGTAAATCAATATGGAATATCATAAACAGTATACGTAATATGATTATAGAACATAAATATATATTGATTGCAACATGCAAGGACTTTTACTCCTTGACAAAAATCAACATCGCAAATAAAACAAACATAACATGGTTACGTTGACAAAGGGTTAAAGTTCTCGTTTTGAGAGCATCGAAACCAAAAAAAAGAAAAAAAAATGGAGACAAAAAATTGCTCACAATAGAAAAACCCGAAGGTGCTGGTGTCTGTGATCCACCTCCAAACAACATGTGGTTAGAATCTGAGCATATTTGAGGCAGCGTTCCAAAACACGCGGGATGTTGCTGAGCAAAATTTAGAGACAAGAAAGAAAATAATATAGAGCAGCATGGACAAGAGAGATTTGAGTACAAATGTCTTAGAGAAAAGATGTTATACGTTTGATAGTAAAGAAGGAGCAAACCACATCAGAGCTCCAGCCAACCATCCAAACAAATGTCTGACACAGGCTAAGACATAAATGGATAATGAAAAAGCTTTGGATATAAGTAAGTGTTTTTTGAGACACCTCGTATCACTTACACAATTTTTAAGCCTGATTTATTTCCCAATGAGGCACTATGATAACCCCTAGGATCATGCAAAAAAAATGTATTAGTATTCCATTTTGTCATAGTCACTATTAATAACCCTGCTAATGGAACCATATGAAAGCATGACATGCAAATCAATGGGGTCAATAAATAACAGAAAAATGACACAAAACAGACAATATAATCACTGATATGGAATTACGTGATACATGAAACACTGGAAAGATAATGGCAAATTAACACATATATAGGACACATTATCATTTTGAAAGTTACAATAAACTCATGGCATGAGGTGTACCTATAATGGGTTGCAGCAATAACACGGATTTCAGCAACAACACATTTGAATTCTTGAAGGCAGTGTTTAGGCAGCAGGTACTAACAGTGTATTTATGTTTAATGTGGGGCTAGATGTAGAATAGGTCACTTTGAAAGTGGAATAAGAAAACCTGGCTCACTAGCATAGAAATCAATGTGACCTCATTTGAGTTTAAGATAGAAGGCAAATCCACGTAGTAATGGATTATATTTAAGTAAGTGCTGTGAAAAAGGAAAAGGATAGACAGACACAACAGAAGGGTAAGAAGAGAGGAGTAAGATCTACCAGTGAGTTACACTCTCCCACTACCAGGGTCATGATGTTCTTGATCTGAGTCACAGAGTAACAACACTGGGAAATAAGCTGCAGGCGATGTCATCATATTCAAAGTCTATATTAGGCCTATATTATCAAATGACTGCTCATTTCCTAACACAAGTCTTTGATTTCGAAAAACCAGAAACAGAGAGAAAAAAAGAAAAAAAGAATAAAAACGGGCACACAGACAAATTAAGTAATGACGGTAATAATCCTACAATATCTGCGAACGAACGGCAAGTATTCGAATGACTAGAGGGGTTATCAATAAAATTTTTTCCCAAAACATCACTTTGAAATAGACGCATAACTTCACACATTTCTTATAAATTCATTAGACAAAATCATCAGAACAGTCAACAAAAAGAAAGAAGTAGTAAAGCTATCAAAAGTGTGCGACCAGATATTTGACACAGCCAGGTTGATCAACACAAATCATTATTGTGATTGCTGGGTACATACAACCGAAGACTATAATATACTACAAGATGGTTCACTTCTCTGGTTTAGATACTATAAAGACATTCTAAAAATTTCCGAAGGCAACATGTGCATTGCAGCGTATTTGATACTATTTTTATAGCTAACATATCATGCAATAATAATATTAAAAGAGCGCATATGTATTGTGCAAATTTCCGCTTAACAGCAAGCTTTATGTGCTTCACAAACTATATTATTTCCCGAACAGAGATGTCTGATAGCATTCTGAAACAATCTCAACTTCCTGGGAAGCTTACAGTGCAAGCTGCCATTTTACAGGCACTAAAACACTTACATACTGACAAGACCTTTTGCTGTCTATGGCAGGGTACCCATTCACACCTGGGTGAAATGAGGAAAATTCATGACAAGTGCCTTTCCTAAGGACACAACATCGGGCCGGAAGCTCGAACTCTCCAAACCCACAACTTTACAATTACAAGTCTGGTACCCTAAACAATAGCTCTAGAAGATTTCCACTCAAAAAATTAAAACAAAACCTTTTAATCAGCACTCTCCGGCGACATCCACTGAAATGCCAGTTTTTTTTCAAGACACTTTTAGAGAGGGAACCATCTTGTGGAGTACAGTCATTGACGCAACAAAAAAAATGTGGTCCTAATACAGCCAGCAACATCTGAAGTATTCAACAACCCCAATGGAACTATAACAGCTGAACAATTTGCCAGAAATCTTGCTCAGGGCAGCCATTCTGGGAAAACTACTGTATCACTTGTTCCTGAGAGCTTCTATTTGGATTACTTTGATAGTCATGAATAAATTAGCACACTGTAATATGGTGACGGTATGCACCCTTCCTCTTCCAAGGTACCAGATAATAACCTCAAAAACTTTTGAAGTCAAGCTGTATATTGGAAATGTCTTCAATATGTAAGACTTGAGGCCATTCTTGCATTACATAAAATGTTTCAATACCATGCAAGTTTAGGAGTGTGCTCACTACCTGTTACAAAAAGTAATGCAAAAAGTAATCAGTCGTTTGTTGCCTTTATACCTCAATGACTAGACATTGTATCAATAGAACCCTTCAACAGCAACAAAGAGACAGTGAATGAAGTCGTCAAGTCGATCGACACTTCCACGCCACAACACCCCTGGTACAACCACCATGAGGATGTCAATACTGATAAAACAAATAAAATGTATAAGAAATGACCAGGGAAACAGCTTGTAAATTACCAATACCAGAACATAAACAGTAAGTCACTGGGCACAAATCATCAAATAAAAGATTTTAACTTCGCAAAAAGAAAAATAGTAATTTGGCATTTAATAAAATTATCGATATCGTTCTTCTTTTCACTCTCATTGCAGTAATGAGTTCACTATGTGTACACATTTAACATCTTCATTCGTCTTATAGTCCTTATATAGTAGTATAATTTATGTTTTAAGTCAATAAAGTTAAACTTTCAGTACAGCAATAATCTGATTTTGCAAGGGGACCACAAAGCCCCTACAAATTATGGCTTGTAAGTACTAGGGCTAAGTATGGCAGAAGAGAAAAAGGGAACTCTTGATATGTCTTAGTGCCATTCAACAATGCGCATATTGATCCTGTTTCTCCAACTCTTTGGCTTGTATTATTCTCTGCCAAGATCAAACAGTTTTGTTAAAAACTCAACCAAGAGCATAACCTTAAGTTCTCCTGTTTCAACTAGTTCTGACCAGGAAAGTTAGGAAGAATACAAGTCCAGGAGTCATGTTGAGTCAGAAAAAGCATTAAAAACTGACTCATCATAAGTACTTAAACAAATTTACTTACATCATTCTTTATATTAATAAAATTTTTTTCAAACAATAAAAGCTCAGAGAAACCATCTGTTCCTTTGTCAGTAGAAAGCGTAGATATATGCTCATCACCAATGACCATAAAAAGGCGGTGCCATCAGCTTCAGTTACAAATTATTTATTGCATGTATTTATTCTTCTGTTCACACTGCACTAATTACATTGGATTAAAGAAGTAAAGGCAAGTGTTTTATTTGTAGTTTTTGCTCAAGACTTCTTGAGAAAATTTAAAATGAAAACTTAAATTTTAAAAAGCTGGAATATTTCAGGAAAGGGTACAAGAGTTATAAATTTTAGTCAGAGTTTTACTGCACTTGCAATACAAATAGGTGAAATAAGAGGTGTTACTAGAACGTAACATACAAAGAAAGGAAAGAAAGATGAGGACTAATAACCTAATAGTGTTGATAGGGGGTGTAAACCTTTACCAGTTCACCCTTTTTGAGAGATAAGAATAATGCTGTAAATGTTCGATAGGAAAGAAGGAATAAACCACACCTGGGTACCCACCAAGCATCCACTAAGAGACAAAGCCGTCCAGTTTGGTTTGTAGAGCCAACCACTACACTATAGCTCCACAAAGCAAATATCTTATCTCTCACTCTACACCAGCAGCACAAATTCCTTCCTCACATAGACTGATTGTGGTGACCTGCACCACTGACTTCTGCTGGTTATGGTTGTTTGAGAGAAACACATGAAACCTTGTTCATTTGACCATTATAATACCCAAGTCCCATTACTTCACTGTGCATACTTCCCATAAAAACTTCTACCAAACTACTTAAGTATCCCTATAGAACCAAGAGGGCTGGGAAAGGATTAAGTACGAGGGATACAACAACAGCTAAAAGCACCAGATCTAGAGTGGCAAGTTTCAATGTAAAACAACATGTCCTTTGTAACATCCACTGTGTACTCCTCTACACCAATCTTGCAGGACAGGAGCTCAGTCAAAATGTCAAAACAGTGCCAAACAAAATCTATCATCATTCAAGGAATGCGTAAATTCTCCACATGAGAGAACTCAAGTAAAACATCGGCATGTTGTGTGTCCAGGAGAATTGAGCTGCTTGACAACTACAACAGGGCCCCAAAAAATCATCTTCAGAAATACTAGAGTGCATGTCTCAACTAAATTGAAACAATCAATGTGTTGAGTCAAAGCTAGCAAATGGACACAGAACTGGGTATATTTGCTATTTACCATTATGATCACAGACTCCTCAAACAATACATACTGCCTGTTCTGACTGACAAGCAACTCACTTCGACTGTCTACACAACATTGTTCACCTTGGCTTGGCCTAAACAGCTGCAAAAATTACCGAAAACAGTCATTCCAGTGTAGTTATCTTTAGATGGATTTCGACTCCACATAATACTATGTGGGCAAACACTCCAGTACCAATCAAGTGTATATTAAAAAAACCTCCTAGGATCTAATCCATCTCCAGAAACAAAACAGTTTTTATCTTTTACAAATACTGGTGCCCTCCCTGCAAAATGGTTATCTATTGCAGAACACTCTGCCAGATAACAAGAAAAGGCTGAACTTCTCATAAAATAGGCCAATAAAATAGGTCATCAGCCCCAGAAAGGAGAAGATTACTTCATTTTAAGTTTGTGATGAAATATTTAGAAATTTAGGTGGAATCTTTAAAGAGAATACTTTAATCAAACATTAAGTAGAAATGATCACAAGAGGTTTTCAATATTGCTCATATCTGAACTCAGCACACACATCTCTTTGTACATAGTTATCTGTTACTCCCTTCTTCACTCTATTCACATCGCCAGTTGTAATGAAACTGTGAGGAATAATTTTTGATGAAATATTTAATGATTTCACATCACTTCTCTCTCTCATGTCTTTCTCACAATATGTCCTCTCTTCTTTTCCAAGTGCCACTGTCAATAAGCTCTCATTCAGATGATGATGATGTTACAGTCCAAGAGGTTTATGCTGAGTTCAATCTTAAGAGACAGGATATCCAGTTTTGGATGAAATTGAGTTATCGTTTCCACTTGAAAGTTTAAAACACGGTGCACATTTCTGTCTTAGTCTGGTATCGATATCTTAATAAATTAGGTGGGGAAAGTGTTTTGAAGATATTCAAAGCGGCTGGCTGTTAAGAGGCAAAAATTTGTTTTTTTGGCTCTCCCATAAATTTTACGAAACTGGATGTACTGTCTTTTAAAATTAAACTCCAGTATGCCACAGTGACAAAACTTCTTCCACATTTGCATAATACTAGCACATAACGTACTATGACGTCAGAGACAATAAAATAAAGCTAAGCACAGGATTTCAGGGGGAAGTCGTCAAAGTGAAAGATGAATGTCCGTGTCCCTTCCTTAAAAACACCAACGATTGTTTATAAATATATAGATAATATATCACATGGCGTTCCTTCATGGATATCTTCAAGGAAGCTAAACAACTCTGTCATGTCCAGCTAACACACAAGGCAAAAGCAGCAACAGATCCAAACCCTTGCAATCCTGTTCTCCCATCACTTGTCTGGGGGTCAGCTACTGTCCAGGGGGACCTCGGGATAAGTGGGCATCTTGACGGCAACCACAGTGTTCTCTACCTTGTATGACGGGTACAGCCCACTGGCTCCTGTCCGGCGGTTCGTGCCCTTGGAGTAACCGTCCCAGTGGTTACCCGCAATGCCCACTGCATCGCCAATCTGAGGAAGGGGACAGACAGAAAGTCAAGATGGTTGATCGGAGCCATGTTGTGGTTTAAGGATAATCAGGCAGGACATCGATCATAATTTCTGGGAAAGCAGATCAATAAAAAATAATACTTAAATCAGAACATTAAAAAGAAAATATCTGTTTTTCTACTGAAAAATACCAAAAGCAGCACAGGTTGGTCTTCACTTGCTTGAATCAAAGTAGTATCTCACACAACTCCTAATCATTGTAAACTAGTCGTTGTTAACCTGGTTCAATTGCGCCCCAGGGGCTTGCTCCGAGAGCCAGTCTCAGGGTTTGGTGGAGTGAGCATGTGTGTGTGTGTGTGAGTGTGTGTATGTTGCATGCATGCGTATATGTTTGCATGTGGTGCATGTGTGTGTGTGAGTGTGTGTGTGTGTGTGTGTGTGTGTGTGTGTGTGTGTGTGTGTGTGTGTGTGTGTTTTCGTGTGCATTTGCATGTGTGGGTGTGTCTCCATATGCATGTGTATATATGTGCATATCCATTCTGTTCATACAAACTTGACTGAAAGCCTTGAGGATGGCACCCATGAAACTTGCGGGGATTCAATATCTCTCACAAGGCAAAGAACTACAGTGGAGCCTGTGTAAGACGGCCATCCATTGTCAAGGAGAAAAGTGGCCGTATACGAGAGGTGGCCATCTTAGGCTGGACTGATCAAAATGAAAAAAAAACCCAAACCATTCTCTTCTGAGGTCCCAACCAAAGGTAGCTGCATTGTTGTTGTTGTTGGTTCGTTTTTTGTTTGCATTAAAAAAATTTTGTTGTTGATTTTGTGCAAGGGTGACAATAAAACAAAGTAAATGTGTCAGACGAGTAAGACCCATGGGTCGCCACCACTCGGAGAACGAGGGACACTTCTGTCGCAAGTTCATGTTGACATCCAGTGTTACTTTGTTACAGACTGGGTAAATAGTGACCACTCATCTCACTTACGATTTGAGTACAGTCCATGCCGGCTTTAAGCACGGTCGTCGGGAGAAAACTTAAGCGTGCTTAAAGCCGAAGCGTGCTTGAGTGCGAAGTAGACATAATCCAGAGATTTTCATGTAGAAAATTTCCTGTGCTATTTCCCTTTGTTTATAAGTAGGCCTATAGCGGTCCCGCAAAAGTGTGCAGTTATTTAGACACCCGTCAAGGTAGTTTTGTTTGCTTGTTTGTTTTTGTTTTGTGGTCGAATGGGAAATGAAAACTTATTTTAGACGGCCAGTCACGATACAGCACACTAGGCCTACACACTGCCTGTGCGTACCACTGCCCGCTGTGCCACTCACACCACCGCCTTCATTCCATCTCGCGCGTGATACACAATCAGGATTAATGGATAGCGAGGGTCAAAGGTGAAATCGCAGCCAGCCTCCCTTTCTCGTCTCCCCGACTCTCTTTGTATTTTTTTTTTGGGTCGTGTGTAGCTTTGCCCTAGGCTTAGGCTAGATCCTATGCTTAAAGCCGGCACGGACTGTATGAGTTCTTGGCGGGGCTTATGTGCTATGAGGGATTACACGCTTCCCTCACCAGGAGCTGAAAATTTGTTACCTATTGGTCAACAGTAGGAGGGGGCCAACGCAATATGATTGGTTTGGCCTAACAACAATGACAGGTGATTGGATTATGACGGCTCGCCCACAACGCGTAATTTATGACAAAACATAATGGAGTCACTAAGGCGGCCGTCTAAGACAGGTGTTATTGTTTGGTGTGATAGGGGTTGTGTGTTAAAATATATATGGTGGCCGCGGCTGCGTTGGACAGGTGCTTGTTTTACACAGTGAAATTATATAGAAAAAAAATGCTAGGGGCAAAATAGAAAGTGGCTGTTAGTACAGGTGGCCATCTTATAGAGGTGGCCGTTATGGCAGGTTCGACTGTATTAACCTAAACTTAAGTGATACAGTAAAAAAACATGAGCCCTTTGAGGCCTTGCCATCAGTGCACCGGTGGCGTGTGAAACTGCCCGTAAGCCTAGCCACTAGTACACCGGAGAGCCAGACCTTATCTCCAACCCGGCCAGCCTAGGACAAAATGCACATGGAAAACTGTTTACTACACAGGATGTTGTTATTGATTATTTAGAAGATCTTTCTGAATTAGGTGTCGGCAATGACAAGGACTACCTTGAATGGGATATGAAAAGTGATTCTGATGATGTTATGGATGTTAGTAATATATCGCTCAGGAGCTCAGACAGTGGGCCAGGGTAGCCTCAGGAGGTCAGGGCTCACAGGGTTAGCCTTTCGGAAGCTCTCACCTTGATCTCCACCATGGAATCCCCGTCCCCAGGATGTGCCTCAAGCACCCTCAGGTCATGGGCATTCTGACCCCCGTAGTAAAAGACATCGTCTAGGGAGCGGAACTTCTCCGATGCGTCACCGTGGAGTGTCTGCATGATCTCGTATGCCACACGACAAACCTAGACAGACAGACAGACAGTGGACAATGGGATGGTTGAAAACAGAAATACTTTTCTATTAAAATTTTTTTTAAAACGTAGGTGTTATTTTACCCACCAACATTATTTAGATCATTAAGAATTAAGGCGGACTTCCAACGTGAATGTCTAGTTTGAGTAGAAAGAAGACTAACATCATGGTAACAACTATTCAACCAGTGTCTGTGGTGCAGTGGTTATGTATTCAAGTTCGACTTCTCATGTGTGGGAAGAAATTTAATCAAGAAGACTATCTCGGTCTTTCTACTGGATCATTGTTTCCATCTCAACCTTGACAGGCATAGTCGAAGCCTGTCTCCTAAATCATCTGAATATGTCAAAGGGGGCATAAAAACACCCACATTTGAAAAAAAAAAACCAAACTATTTAGCACCAGGAAAATCAAAACAGATGCATAGAAACAAAAGACAATGATTAAAATTTAACTTGGGTCCCCAACTCATTTGATATAAATTGTAACTCTTGAAGTCTCAGAGAAAATGAAAACACATTAACAGTAAAGGCTGCTTTAAACAGCTAGTGATAAGATTAAACATTTATTAATAAAAATTAACAGTTTGCTTTCATCAGTGTTTACAGCATAGAGTAAAAATATAAAACATCATATCAACATACTCACATAACCATTCATAACAATATACAAACACACACATACACATATATACAAGTGTTTTCTAAGTTCATAGCTTGTGACAGCCTAAACAGAGACCCCCCCCACCCCCCCCATAAAAACTGAGCCATACTAAGCAACTACAAAGACTTTGAATATAGAAGTCTACACAGTTTGAGTAAAGAGAAGCACATCGACACAATCATGTGCAGGAAAGAAGCAAGGCAGATAGACAGAAACAAAATGGGGGAAAAAAAGAAGTAAGACCTAATAGTGGCACCCTTTAACCACCCACAGAGTCTACAGAGAAAAACTTTACAGTGGACACATTGAATTAAAAATGCCTAGAGAGAAAAAGTCTGCACAATCAACTAGTGTGCAAGACTTGATCTCTTCACTCTTGAAGCATTTCCATCAACATTTGTACAGACAAGACAAAAATGTAATTCAAGAGAGATTTAAACAGTCATAGTATCTTTCAACGATATAAAAAAAATAAAAATAACTGCACAGTCCTAATAACATTGCCCTATGTTTTCCCTGTAATCCATAACACAAAATGGCAGTGAACCAGTTTTGGAGAACACAAGCAAGTATATAGATTCATCTACACAGAATTAAAATGCTTAATGTAATAAAGCATTATGCCTTTTGAGAGAAATTGTGCACCACTGACAATCAAGTTAGAATTTATGCCACGTACAGACTTGCCAATTTTTTCAGAACCCGATCTGGGCCACCCGATATTATAATATCGGATTACGTAACAGCGAAGAGAATAACATCAAGTGAAATTGGTTTTGGTGTAGTGTATGTGATAAGGCTCTCAAATTTCTGGATTACTGAATCTGACACAGTCTTGGAAAATCTGGGACAGTTGGCAATTAGCCTGCATGCATTATGTACTCAGAACAAGCTGCCAACTCCTGGATGACCGGCATGGCGTTGGGGGTGTAGCGATTAAGTGCTTCACTGTCACACATGGGGGAACTTGAGTTCGATTCTAGAGTGGGCAAAGTTTTTATCCAAGCATCTTCATCCTTGCCTTTCTGCTGATATGTTATATCTTTCTCAGCCTCCGTTGTCCATAACAGTCAGGGTCGGAAGCCTGCCTCCTTTATGATCTAAATTGTGTTGATGGGGGTGTAAAATAAACACCTACATGTACATGTACTCCTGGATTCATCATCAGGGCCCAGATCTGCAGCAGACATAGGCGATAATGGTTCTCCATTCATTCCTTTGTTCGGACGCTCTTAAAAAAGCTACGTAATCCTGATCCTTCCATGTTACCCATTTGTTTGGGTTCCCTAAGTAGGTTGCTCTGGGCCTACCCCTGCCTCGTTTGCCTTCAATTTTGCCAGTGATAGTAGATGTCCAAGGACCGTTATGTCTATTCAGGTGTCCCAAAAACTGCATTTGTCTTTTCCTGATTGCTTTTAACAGTGAGCGTCCCATGTGGGCTTCATCAAATACTACCTCATTTGACTTCTTTTCCTTTCATATTCTCAGCAGTCTCCTAAGAAACCACATTTCTGTTGCTTCTATTTTATTTTCACTGTCTTCACTTCAGTGATTGTCCAGCATTCACAGCCACATAGTGGGAGGTTGGCAGGTGCTCTGGTGTGGTTTGCTTTTTCTTTCTTATCAACGTCTATCATCTTTATCTCCCCTCCTTTTTTGTTTTTGTTACTCTCTTGTAACACCTCTAATCTTCGGCACTTATATGAACTTATTGTATTGCAAGTGCCGTAAAACTCTTACTAAAACTAAGCAGTCAAGTAGAAGGTTGGATTATAAGGGGGAAAAAAACCCAATGTCGGAGAAACTGGTCACCTGGGAAGAGAATGTGCAGACGAGGAAGTCACACCGGGACAGGAGGTAGATGTCAATGATGATGCCACGGAGAGAGTTGTCCGAGTAACGGGTGCCTAACGAAGCAGACTTTGAGATGAGATTGTCGCTGATAAACTTGTAACTAGGATATCTGAAGAAGAAAAGACAATTGCCTGTGAACTACAAAATATCAATGAAAATGAAAAGGTGAGCCTTGGAGAACCGGGAATTTCTTTACAAGGCCCCAATATCTGTAATGCTTTGCCCATTAGTTTAAAGAGGGATTAAATCATTTTATTAATTCAAATGTCAGCTAAAGTCATTTCTGCTTTTATATTAATGATAGTATATATATATATCTTTTTTTTTTTTGGGGGGGGGGGGTCAGACCACCATGTACTGTATACATGTCACTGTTGTAAAGTGCTCAGGGCCTGTATACTTTAACTGGGGTTGAGCGCTATATAAATGTCAAAATATATTACTATCATTATTACTATTACAGAAACTAAAATGGTTGGGGAACTTTAAAAACAGGTGAAGCTGTATTTTCAAAAAGTGAACAATAAAGCAGACACATTGCAGCTACAGTGATAGAAACACTCTATCTTAAGTACTGCCTCTGGGGTTGGAGTGAGTATTGGAAAATAATTGTAAACCATATTGGTTTGATTTTATCATACTATATTCTCAGCTGTCATGACTTATACACAGAGTTTTAAAAAAAAGCGAAATGATTTCCTTACATCAGTCAAGCAACAAATGAGTATTCATAATAACATTGGCGGTGTCTGGTTCTGACAGTGTATCCATATAATATATATTTTAAAAAATGTAACTTCTTTCTTGTTATTCTCTGAAACTGCTCAAAATTTGGGGTAGAATATTCTTTTTACTTATTATGGAACCACCAACTATGATTATGGTTGTGAATAACTTATTTGAATATTTAAAAATGTGTCAGACCTAATTTTGCACATGCATGGATACCTATTTACAATCAACCACACAACTAATGGAAGGAGCCACAAAAAGTAAAATAAACCGTCCCATTCACAATAGATGATAACCAAACCAGTGATCATTCGACTTAAGATGAAGTACCATTATTGCTCTGTCAAAATGTCTCGAGACAAAAGCAACTCACTTTTTCTTGGCTTCCTCCAACACGCCCGAGTCATCAGTGGCGAGATAAACACGGCGCTGCGTGCCGTTGTGCCTACGGTCCAGCTGGTCATAGTACTCCTTCACATGCACCATGTACTCATCCAGATGGTGGAATGCTGCTTCCAAGTTGATCTTGTCTGTTCGCCGCACATGAACCCTAAATCAAGATTATCGCAATTTCAGGATTAAATAAAAAAGAAACAACATACTTGTTCACAAGGAAAAGAGAGATAAATCTGTTACAACAAGCACTAGCAAGTTCTTAAAGAGACTAAAACATTTGAAAGTAACACACAAAATAGTTAATATAATGCAACGGCATTAAATAATAACAATTTTAGTTTCATTTCTGCTTGAAAGTGAAAAACCAAACCCCAAGCAAAATGTAAATGGAATTAAAAAACATATCCAGTACTGTATATTCAGAACCTTTACACAAACTTATTCACTGCAACATTGCTAAAAAACAAAAAACACAAGCAACATGTCTCCATTTTGGCTTCCCAACAGGTATACAATATGGAAACATATAATATCTACAAAACGAACAAGGAAGAAATAATCTTTCGGAAAAACACAAAAGTGTTGTTAAAACGAAACAAATACAAATACAAAAAGAAATAACATCCATATATAATTAATTAACAAAAGGACGAGCAGATGAATCGAAAGAAAAGATTCTCTACACCCTCAAAGTGTTGCTAATAGCCTGTAGTGTCAGGGGAAATTATATGTTTCAACCATAATTATTATGTTGAAAAATATTTGAGAACAGGCAAACAAAGCCAGTAAAGGCCAAAAAACCTGTACATTTTCAGAAAGTAGAATATAAATAGGAAGTTTCAGTCACCCAAGTGAGTGGTTGGTGGGCCCTCTTGGGTGGTTTGCTACTTCTTTACTATCAAACATCCATCATACTTAGATCTCTTCCTTTTATGACCCAACTGTGATGCAAGTTCTGTAAAACTCTTACTAAAACTGTCTCTCACCCAACAATAGTGCTGCGGAATCCCATGCGTTTGACCGTGGCATCTATATCATCTTGCAGCCTTTTGTTAGGTCGGAACAGGTACTGAAGCATCTGACCAATCCACCAGACTGGGGGGTCACCGTGAATGGTGGACAGGTCGTGTGCCAGGTCAGCAGGCACAGACAGGGGCATGAACTCCGGCCGTGGGTGAAGGCTGTCCACAATGGGCAGTTCCAGGATCTGGTGACGCTCCATTTCAGACATCGAGGCTGTAGACGGGTGCGGGGTGGGGGTGGGGGTGGAGGGTGAGTTTTTGAGTTTGAGTAAAGAGAAGCAAGTCCACCCAATACTGCTGTAAGCTGACAAAACATCTTTCATATTTTGGGTGCCAAATTTTTTAATTAACTAAATCGAAAGCCTGATCAGTTACCCTACTTGTAACTAAATCGAAAGCCTGATCAGTTACCCTACTTGTGTGAAAAAATCAAAGTGAAACTGTGACTGGTTTTTGAATAAATTAGAATTCAAATTTAGGAAGAAAGCCCTTTTCAATTGGTTACGTGGACAAAAAGCCTCTTTATCTCGAAACTGCTGTAAATAAATAGAAAGTGTTTCGTAGGTTTATGGCAGAATAGTGGTCATATACTCGTAGTGTAGGGAAAAAGTAAGACAGAAAGACACACAGCTGAGGGAAAGAAAAGAAACTGGACCTACAAGCGGCAGCCTCCAAACTCTTGCAGGTGCTCAAGATCATGTCAAACAACCTATTGTGTTTAAAATATGTGTGTTGAATTTGAACTGACAAAATTAATTTTGAATTTGAACAGACAAATGTTGAATTTGAACAGACAAATGTTGAATTTGAATTGACAATGTTGAATTTGAACCCTGTATTGTTACAATTAATGGCACTATTTTGATATTTGAGATTCCTAGTGTTACATTTGCTCTCTCTATTTTGACGTTTGAACTTTCTACGTTGAATTAGATCTGACTATGTTGAATAAATTGTGCTATGTTTCATTTGAACGCTCTATTTTGATATTTGATCGAGAAAAGGTGTATTATTATACGTGAACTCTGCAAACCAAACACACTTGAGAGATGAATGGAAAGCACTTTCAGTGACAACTGAAAAGAATGGGACATACTGTTTTTTCTGTTTTGACCAATACTTTATGAAAGGTCAAAGCCTAGCTTTCGAAAAAAAAAAAACAACAACAACGAAAAACAAAACCCCATCTTACAATCAACTGAACAATAAAGAAAAAGTAAGAGAGTCGTTTGACTTTGAAACCATTACACTGAAATATTTCTCAAAGAAACTTCCAACATTTGACGGGTCCATAAGACAAATCAAACCCTTCAATTAAAAACAAAACCTGTCTGAGGCAGCACATACAACAACTTCAAAACCATTACAATGCAGTATTTGTCAAAGTGGCTTCTGACATTTAAATGGGGTTACAAGAGGCAAATATCGAACCTTTTAACTTTGTGATAATAGTGAATAAGATATGTAACAACAAGCGTTCACTACAATAAAAAAGACAATGTCACTACTATCACTAAGCTTTGCCACCACATAAAAGACCCAGCAGGACTAGCACCACTCTTTGGTCGCCATGGTGCTGATGGTTTTGTTATTTTTCTTTATTTCTGTAGACGTTTTTATATCCCAATCGCCACAATTTATACCACCCAGAAGGCAGGCTTTTGATAATGTCTGTCAGGGTCAACACCTGCTGAGAGGGAATTAACATCCTAGCAGAAAGACTGAAATACTCAATGGAAATTCTTCCCACTTGGGAATTGAGCTCGGGTCTCCTGCATGCCAAGGTGAAGCATCTGGCTATTACACTAAACCAGAGGCATCTTTCCATGGTGCTGCATGAGAGGACTTGGTTGTGGAGAAAAAGAGCTTACAATCTTAATTAATAATAATAATTGCATCCATATAGCGCATATCCATGCTCAAGAGCATGCTCTATGCACTTTACAACTATTAATTGTGGGCCAGGACCTTTAAACTTTCTAATATAAGGTGGTGACACATATTGAGCCATGTGAAAAAAGATAGGTATTTTGTTCTATTAATTATACATAAACTGCCAGGGGCAGTGCGGGCTAGGTTACCTAAACTGCACTGGCTAGAGCAACACTGGGTGAGGTGACTTCTTTTACTACATTTAATGATTTCAGAGTACAAAATAGTGACCTTGGAAATCAGTCAAAGTAAAACATAGTTATAATGACACTTAAAGTCAGTTCTATTGGCGATGGGCATTAAATTCTAAGGTACCATAGTTTAGACATATTTACAGAGTTGAAATGGGTATTATAAACCAAGCAATACCGTGAAAATTACTTTTTAAAAGTATACAGAAAGCGGTAAATACACAGGCATATTAAAGTGTTCGCATACATAACAACACAAAATCTCTACACATACAAAACACACACACACACACTCAAAACACATGCACATACAACAAATTTACACTCATACACACAACAAATACAAACACACACACACACAAACTCGACACTTACGCCCCCATCGTATCTTGGAGCCGCCTCCCTTGTCTGTACAGGTCTCGCTGAGTGGCATGAAAACAGTCTCCCAGCCTTTGGGCGCATACCGCCAGCCCTTCGACTCCAGGATGAGCGTGCGCTGCATGGCGTATGCCGTGATCATACAGTACGTCAGGTGGTGCAGCTGGCATCCAAACCCGCACCCTTTGTGCAGGTTACATACTACCTTCTTGGCGCTTTCACAGTCTTTTGGGTTCTGAGAGAAAGACAATTAATGCATTTCAATTTAGTTTGAGTTTGAGTAAAGAGAAGAACAGTGACACAATATTGGTCATAATGTTGTTTGTTTTGTTAGGGCAAGTGATTTACGTCCCTTGCAACTGCATAGGGTCATTTTAGTAGTAATTAATTTTGAATTTTGCCCGGGTGACAGCTGAAGACTAATTGGATTGATTTTGACCACCAAGGGATCTTTAACTTGCACAACCTGCACACAGGACCTCTGAGATTTTACGCCTTAATCCGAGAAGGCAAGGTGTTAGATCTTAAGTCATAAAGTGCAGGGAAGGCACAAGATAAATTGACAGAACAACAGAGGGAAAGGAAAGAAGTAAAAACTACCAGCAGCACCCTCCAACCACACGCTCTAATTACTTGCATAGGTCGGAGAGCTGTATCAAGTCCCATTCATCACAGCCTTAAGATAGACTCATGAGGGATCACAGTAGGACAAATTGTCCTGAAAAAAAAAAGAAAAGAGGAAGTATCTTTTTCAACTTCCCATTCTTAAAAAAAAGTCAAAGGTGTCTTTTACCCCTGGCTTCACATCCATCTGATTGTAGTTCCAGTAAGAGTATAATTACTTGTAGTTGTCTTCTTCTAAATCTGGGTATTTGGGTGCAGCTATTCTTTTTCGTTCTCTTTTTGTTTTTGTTTTCTTTCCGTGTACCTCGTTTTGTTTGTTTGTTTATTTGCTTCAGGGGTCAGGCACAAACCAACAAAGTGAAGAAAATTCCTATAACAGCCTAATCACAAGACCACCGCAGCCTCACTCTCATTCACCACTCACTCTCTCTCTCTCTCTCTCTCTCTCTCTCTCCAAAAATACAAACACACAGACAAACACACACATACACACACACTCACACACGCACACACAAACGCACACATACACACACGCAACCACACATACACACATACACACACACACCAAACACACATACAAGGTCGCAGGAAGGGATCTGCAACTCCCGTCCCCTCCCCCCCACCCGACAGCCCACCGACCTGTAGATAAGCCAGCCTCCTCTGTACCAGCGAGCCCAGCTCCATGGACCGTCGATGTCTCCACTCCTCAGACCCGCTGGCTGTCCGCAGCTTCTCGAAGTCGTCGAGCATGGTCCTGTCAAACAACACGCGCTCAGATAACTATACAGAATGACGGGCTGTCACGCACGCATAAACGTGCCCATGCACGCAAGCACGCACGCACGTACCCAGGCACA